GGTCTATGGAGGTCCCTTGTATAAGGCACCAAGGTTGTCTCTCTTTTTTTTTTTACAACCAATTTTTGGAACAGTGCATATTGTAAACAAGCTAAGTGCGGCATAATCAGGAGCTGCAAATTGTCACTATTGCTTATTCTGTGCAAGTCAGAATTATTCACTTAACATGAACAGTGGAAAAGAGGATGCAGAAATACAAAAACGGCTGTCAAATGCAAAAACCTCAATTGTATGCACCAGAAACAAGCCTAAAGGCTGAACCCAGTTAAATCAAGTTAAAAACTAGAGAAAGACAGTAATTTTATTCAATCATTTTACATGCTCAGCTCTAATATGAATTGTTATGAAAAACCTACAAAATCTATTTCTCCAGAAGGACCAAAGAATGTGAGTAGACATTGATTGTCCCTTGCAGATACTGTACCTATTACTTCTTAAAATCATATACTGTGTTCATTCATTGTAGTAAGCCATAATGTTATATAATTGGTTTTGGTTTAGTATGATGTATGAACCTAAAGTCATATGTGAATCAAATTATTATGAGTAATTATTATTATTATTTTTTTCATCCATACGTTATCTGCCAGGGCTCCTATAATTTCCATGATTGAGAGGAATCCAAGGTTCAGTTTTTCAGGACCTGTATTTTCAGGAATACAGAACCTGCTTCAAAACCTGGCAATTTGTACATGATCGCAAAGAAAGAAAAAGAAAGATTTAATAACTATGAGAAAAATGGCTGGATAAAAGAGAGACGCCAGAAGTTTTTATCTTGACACTCGTAAAAAGAAAGAAGTTTTGAACTCACACCCTGAGTAACGGAGTAGAAGGAGCTTTATAGCTCAATATCATCACTAAACTAGCATATTTAGTGTAGGCATCTAAAAGATATTGGTTCAATGCATGAAATATACTAAGCGGTGATTTATTTTAATGATGGTTTATTGAATAAACCACAGTGGCTAGATTCAGACATGACACTGCAACCAAACCATATCTTACAAACAGTGGCTGGATTCCCACAGTATACAAAGCCCAACCATGCAAACTCATGATGCAGGAGAAGGATACAGTGACTTTCAAAAACAAATCCCAGGGCCAGCTGACCAAGAAGTCCAATTCAACCCCCAGAGCCCAACATATCACCATCCAATGCTGTAGATGGGTGCCAAAATTCCAGCCCGTGCCATTCAGATTTATAGGTTTGCATGTTGATCGAAGTGCTGTGTTTAGTTTTTGTAGATCCTATTGTTGTATTTCTATTCTTCTGCTGCTCCTGTGTTTAAACATTGACACACATAAATACATGTCAACCAAAGATTATTTTCTCCCTATACGTTGATTTAATAAAATCTTAACCTGTTGAATGCATGTGTCAGATTTCTGCAATGACAAAGCAGGAAAGCAACAGTGTAGAGAAACAGTTGCCTCTGTAGTTGGCTTTTCATTCACGGGTGGTGTCCTGGGTACAGAATACTTTCCTCAAGACAGTATGAGTGGTACCCATTTTGTCTTTTAGGCACTAAGTAAATTCTAGCCATTACATAAATTCTTGCTTTGTTTACCAAAAGAGATCTTCATCTATTACTAGTTTTGTATTTTACACACTTGAATTTTATTTGTGCCTTTCTTAATGCATCCATTTTCTATGTACAGTATTTTTGCTTTGAGAAAAGCAGGCATTTGATGCACTTAAATTGAAACTAAAAAGCATTTGGGATTTATGTGCGTGTGTTTATATTTATATCTATATACACATATATATTTATATTTATATACACATATATTTATATTTATATACACATATATATTTATATTTATACAAACACACACACACACACATATAATGTTAGTGAACATGATTGCATGCAAACAGAGGCATGATAAAGCAAAAAGCTTCTCTGATTTTGATATTAAGATAGGAACTTCTTGGCACACATTTGCATTTTGCCTGTGGTTGCTTCCTGCTCAGATCTCACCAGCTTTTTTCATGATAAGCAACATACAGAGTCATCAGATACTAAAAAAAAAAAAGTGTAATGTTTGTAATTGTTTTATTTCATTCTAATTCTGTTCGTTGCACGGAGTCACTTGTTGAGATGGGCAGCTATATACAGATAGTCCTCCGCTTACAATCATTTATTTAGTGATCATTCAAAGTTACAACAACACTGAAAAAAGTGATTTATCATTGTTTTTCAAATTTACATTTGTTGCAGCATCCATATGGACACATGTTCAGAATTTGGATGCTTGGCAACTTTCATGTATTTATGATGGCTGCAATGTCCCGGGGCCAACTTTTGTGACCTTCTGACAAGCAAAGTTAATAGGGAAGCCAGATTCACTTAACAACCATGTTACCTACTTAACAATTGCAGAAATTTGCTTAAGAATTGTGGCAAGAAAGGTCATAAAATAGGGCAAAATTCACTTAACTCTCTCACTTAGCAATAGAAATTTGGGTCTCAATTATGGTTATAAGTTGTTGTTGTTGTTGTTGTTGTTGTTGTTGTTGTTGTTGTTATTATTATTATTATTATTATTATTATTATTTTATTTGATTTATATACTGCCCTACTCCCGAAGGACTCAGGGCGGTGAACAGTAAAATACATAGATACAAAATTTAAAAAACAAAGCAAAATTGAATTAAACAATTTGGCCCAGACAAATTAAAACACCCCAATCATTTAAAAACCAATTAAAATTTGCATAATTAAAAAGAGGGGAAAGATTAGGCCAGGCCCGTTGAGGATTACTTGTCAATTGAATAAAGAAATAAAATAATATGCCAGTCCTGAACAGATTCCCATTTGTTTTGTATAGTTCAGGAGTGTGGAATTGTTTCTGTTTGCTGTTTCAGGTTGCAAACATTTTTGCCCTGCTTATTTGAAACTATGGTTGCTGTGTATAGATTTACCTTTGAAAACATTAAACGCAAACATGCATCTATAGATATGAATTTAGAACAAATATATACCACTAATCCTTGGCCCAAGGAGCTTATAATGTAAAGTTTAACACAAATGTTAAACAAAGTCATAGCTAACTTGGGCAGGATGTGCCTATAGCAGTGATGGCTAACCTTTTTGCTGTCACATGCCAAAAGCGGGGGGAGCACTGGGGGGGTTGCGCACACGTGTGCCCACACCCATAATTCAATGTGTCCCCTGCCCCCTGTGCATGTGCGTGCAATCCCCCCGTGCTCCCCCCGTGTTTGGCACGTGATGGCACAGTGGGCCTGGTAGGCCTGTTTTTTGCTCTCCCCAGACTCCAGAGGCTTTCTAGGAGCCTGGGGAGGGTGAAAACAGCCTCCCCCCCCCCGGAGGCTGGAAACAGCCCGTTTCCCGACTTCCGGTTGGCCAAGAAGGCCTGAAAATCAGCTGGCTGGTGCGCTGGGGCTGAGCTAGGGCAATGCTTGCGTGCCCACAGATATGGCTCCACGTGCCACCAGTGGCACGCATGCCATAGGTTTGCCATCACGGGCCTATAGTATATTTAGTTCTCTAGGTCATAGATGCTACGGGACAAAGTTTGGCAGGGATAGACAAGTTTTGGCTCACTGTAGAGCTGAAGGAGATTGCCTTGGAGAAGCAAGATAAAGGTTGAAAAAACAAAAGTGTGCTTTAACACAGACAAAGCGTGAGTAAGAGGATGAGAGGCACCCCTCCTTGATTCCTCAGAACAGTGATTTCCTAGCCAGAACTCCCTAGCCAGCAATTCCTTCTGGGAATTGCAGTCCACACATTTTCCAATGGCCAAAGTTATGAAATATAGCACTGTAACATAAAAGGCAGGGAGGGAAAAACTCAGGCCAGGCTTCCAAGATTCTGTTACTATAATTTAGCTTAATAAAGTATAGTTCCAGCTAGACTTGTTGAGTCTGCTTCTTTTTCTGGTCTACCTCGAAGGGCTGACAGCCACTCAGAGCCAGTCCAGCATCACTTTTGCAATTCTTAGAGCCCAGGGGTGGGTTCTACTTACCTTTAGTACTGGTTCGCAGCGGGGCCGCAAGTGCAGAAGCAGCGTTTTGATGACATCGGGGTTGGTGGGCGGAGCCTCCTGCCAGTTTTACTACCGGTTCTATCGGGCAACCCACCACTGTTAGAGCCCCCATGAATCAGGAGGAGTCTTCTAGCACCTTTTCTAACTAATTTTATTAAATGTGTTATTTAGAAAAGGTGCTGTCAGACTCAACCACAGACTAACACCAGGGGTGGGTTCTACTTACCTTTACTACCGGTTTGCAACGGGAGCACGCGTGCGCAGAAGCTTCTGCGCATGCGTAGATAGTCAATTATGGAGTCCGGGCCTCCCACTGCTTTTACTACCTGTTCTAAAGAAATGGACAGAACTGGGAGCAACCCACCACTGACTAACACAATTTTCCTCCTACAATATCAACAGACAGCAACACTGAAAAGAGTGGGAGGACACAATATTTTTGACTTTGAAGCCTTGCACATTATTTGTTCTGCCCACTTTAATCTTAAACGTACCCCCTCCATTCTTTTACTCGTGTAATTTAAATGTGGCACCTCTTCCTCTTGCCTTCCCACAACGTGCTCTGCCAACTCTTGACTGCCAACTTAATTCCCATGTATTGGGCTTGAGTGGTAGGTTGCTTAGAATGGGAGAATTGGAGAAGTAAGATGGTGCCCCAGATCACCGATGCTGAGTGCTGTCAAGAGTTAGTAGCAGCAATGAATACCTTATCCTGTGCCCCCTATATTGGCTTTCAGCCCTCAGGTGTGGTCAAATGAAATAAGATGTAACTGTCAGTCCAGTTGGGTTCTTTAGATGGAATGGTAGGGAAGAAGAGTCATGTTATCCTTCACCCCAGATTGAAAAATGCTGGGAGAGAAAATGAAAGTGGCAGTTTTTGGAGGTAAGAAGAGTATATGCTGAACCCAGGAGTGAAAGCCATTCTTAAGGAGAGGTCATTATTTACTTCTCTTTCTATTTCTGCCAGGTCTATTATCTCTGATGGAGAGATGCCAGACAGCTGGAATATATCTTCAGACAGCCTAGAAGCAAGAGCTATAAGCATTATTGTGCCTGTAGTCTTTTCCCTCATCTTCCTTGTAGGCACAGTTGGGAATAGCCTGGTGTTGGCTGTGCTGCTACACAATGGAGAGGTGAAATATAACACTACAAACCTGTTCATCCTCAACCTGGCAGTGGCAGATCTCTTCTTCATTGTCTTCTGTGTCCCATTCCAGGCCACCATCTATGCTCTGGATGGATGGCTCTTTGGTGCCGTTGCCTGCAAAGCTGTGCATTTCTTCATCTACCTTACCTTGTATGCCAGCAGTTTTACTCTGGCAGCTGTTTCGGTGGACAGGTAAGTATAAATGCTCTCTTTCCTCCAAAAGACAACACTTCTTGTCTCCTCCTATAACAAAACATTGCTTGTGTAGTTACTCTGACATTGCACTAATGTGGCTTGGGTGATTCTGGCAAAGTATACTGTGTGTATTCAGGCACTGAGACAATTTTTTAAAAGTAAAGTAACAGAAGAAACCATTGCTTAATATGATATGTGAAATCAGTCTATTTATTTATAAGCAGAAGTAGGAGAATCTTTAATCCTTTATCCAAAATCTTAAATTACCTGACAGGTGACCTATTAGAAGATAATATTTGTAACTCAGGGTTGAAATGAGGGATCCTGGTGCTCTCTGAGCTATGTAGATGTGTGTAATATGTAAATGAATGGTATGTAGATCTTCTGACAAAGCAGCCATCAACAGCATGTAGACATAAACAACATTTACATGCCATTCAAGAGACAATCCACAATCCAAAAAGGAAACCAAAAGACCAAAACTTTCACCAGCAATCAACACTCAAATGAGCAGAGATTAACACCAAGGTTAACATTAGACTAACAATCAAGAAGCAAACAATATCCTAGTCAAGGAACTGACAAACCAGCCTACAGTAAACGGCCCACCAAAGAATTATCAAGACCACTCCCATCAACACTGACAGGGGTGTCAAACTCGCAGCATCATGTTGTCATCACGTGACGTATCATGACTTTTCCCCCTTCGCTAAACCGGGGTGGGCGTGACCAGCGCGTGACACATCCTGCCTGTGGGCTGCGAGTTTGATACCCCTGCACTAGAGTATAAAATGAAAGCAAACTCCACTCCCTACCAGCACTAATGATGTTACCTAATTTCGGTAATGTGCAAGAAAACAACCAAGCTCAGAGAGCACCAAGGACTCCTCACGTGACCTATTTTTATTTAATTAAAACATGTACTTCCTATCTTCTCATAACTAAAGCATCCCGATTGATTTGTCTCTTTAGAAACGTCTTTATGTGGTTGAGGCTAGAAGTATCCCCAAGCGTGCCCGGGAGATGTAGAAATGTCTCAAGATAGATTAGATGGTTTTCAATCAGATTGAAGGATACATTTAAAATCAATCATGAACATTTTTATGTCAATAAAAATATGACACATCAGGAAAGTAGGATCTAGACAGCCTGCTTCACATTCTGCTAGCTTTCTACTCGCTAGCAAAAATCTTCCAGGCAACAGAGTTTACATGGATTGCTCACCTGCCATTCTTCCCTACCCAAACTTTCTCATCCCATTCCACTGAGTGCAGAGTTGTGGCCTTAGGCCTGATCTCCTGATCTGCATCTTCATTCCCAACCTCTACCTATGTCACAGTCAATTAAAAAGAAAATGCCTTGCCTTCTCCACATAATTATTTCTATTTTTATCACTTTACCCTTTTCATGCTTTCCCTTTCCTTTCCCCTTAATAATTGTAGCATATACTTTACTAGTCCTTTATGTTTCCTGTTAAAGGGTATATGAATAAATTATTTCAGGAAAATGTCATATCCAAACATAGACTGAATTTCTAGCATGGTTCAACTATTTGGATTCCAAAACTTTTCTACCTGTATTGGGGGAAAAAAGATCCATATTACATTTATGGGATTATGAAATTATGAACACCTACATCAATTTCAGTAGACTTTCAAATAGCAGGTTTGGGTGGCACTTTAAGTATCAAATTCATGCCAAAAAGAGCATGAAAAAGGCTTGTCACAAGCAGAGTCTGAATCTGGAAGAAATAGGCCAATAAGAGCAACACATTTAAGCAATAAAGGTGAAAATAATGATAGATATATATTGAATTTATCAACATCTGTTTTGTTTCCAGATATTTGGCTATTTGCTACCCACTGAAATCTCGGAATCTCCGTACCACTTGCAATGCAGTCCTTGCTATTATCATGATTTGGACCCTCTCCGTGCTTTTTGCAGGACCCTATCTCAGCTATTACGAAACCATTAATTATCAGGAGACGTTCATCTGTGCCCCTGTTTGGGAGGACAAACACCGGAAGATCTTAGACATCCTCACTTTTGTGTTTAGTTATATCCTCCCTATCTCTGTTGTTAGCCTAGCTTATGCCAGAACCATCAAATTCTTGTGGACTGCTGTAGACCCTCTGGAAGGACTCTCAGAGTCCCGCAAAGCCAAACGGAGGGTCACCAAGATGATTATTGCAGTGACTATCCTCTTCTGCTTGTGTTGGTTACCCCACCATCTGGTAATCTTGTATTTCTGGTTTGGTTATTTCCACTTTAACCAAACTACCTTTGCCTTACGCCTAGCTTCTCATTGCTGCTCATATGCCAATTCCTGCCTCAACCCAATTGTTTATGCTCTCATTTCCAAGCACTTCCGCAAGAAGTTCAAGCAAGTCTTCACTTGTGTTCTTGTCAAGACAAGAAGAAGTGAACTGACAATAAATCCAAGTGGCCAGTGCTGCTGATGGTTTCATTAACCAGACTGCAGGTTTCTTTGGTGGAAACACAAAAGTAGCATGACTTAATGAAGAAAATATGAGCTGTTGCATGGACCTGTTGGTAAGAACATGGGAAGACATTCTTCCTGAGAAATGGCTCTAGCATTTACAAGACATTATCATATTTGAACAGAAATTACAAAAGGACCAAAAAAATTCTGGAACTATCAACAGTCACCTCATTGAGTGCAACATGGACAACAGTAATTTTAAAATATTAATGGCAGATGGCATCAATTATACCTTCTCAGCATGACTACCATATTTTCATTCAACTCAGGCTTGGGTCGGTGGAGGATAGATTGACTCAAATTACGGTAGTTTTCCTCAATGCAACCGAAGTATCCCAATTCCTTAGAGAACAGCTTGATATTACTTTAGACCAGGGGTGTCAAACTCGATTTCATTGAGGGCCACATCAAGGTTGAATTTGACCTCAAGGGGCTGGGGTGGGTGTGGCCAGGGTGGGCGTGGCCAGCTCGACATCATTTGTGTTGGGGGCGCCTATGGTGGCCTGAACAATTTGCCAGCGAAAATGGGCTCCCAAGCTCCATTTTTGGCTGCCACGGCCTCCTGCAAGTGAAAACAGAGCTCGGGAGCCCATTTTCGCTGGCAGAAGCATCACGGTCTGGTCCTTTGCTGTTTCCAGGGCAGCTCCGTGGGCCAGATCTAAGTACTCTGCGGGCTGAATCTGGTCCCCGGGCCTTGAGTTTGACACCCCTGCTTTAGGCCATCTTCACAGTTGGCTGAGGATGAGACCAAGACAATGTCACGAAGACATGTCACTTGAAAATGACTCCTTGTGCCACAGTTAGAGGGATGTGAAGATGAGCCTGGAAGTTCATATTAATACTTCTGATTTACTTTTCCAGGAGTGGTTACAGAAAGCATAAATGAAAGCTTCAAAGTTTTTGGGTTGCTATAGGAATTAGAGTTTTGAAGGTATACCTATAAACAAAGGGATTGTTGCTTTTGTTTTGTTTTTTAGCCTCTGGATCCAGATTGATAAATGTAAGTGCATGGACTTTTTCTCCCCTTCCTTTCATTTTGTAATTAAGACATGTTATGTTTGGATTTCTTTGTCCTTTGATTTTGAATTTGTTTTTGCTTTTTTTTAAAAAAAGAAGAAGAAGAATATTTTACATTATTTTAAAGCACTTAAGCATTGTTCTGAGAGAGAAGAAAGGAGAACTGAAGAAGCTTCTTGGATGAGAAGCAAAATGTATTCAAAGAAAAACCAGAAAGTCCAGTTGCCTCTTGAAAAAGCACCTTTAGGACCACCATGACTTGGATGACTGAGAATCTCCATAGACACTTGTGGTTTTGATTGTCACAAGGTTAAGCTAATAGAGCTGTGTTGGCTGATGTCAGGGCAATGTGAGCTAAAGTTCAGAGATGGCTCTGATTCAAGACTTTTTAGGATTCTGGAAGTCCTAAGGATAAATTTCCCACTCAGCCTCTCCTTTTCTTCTTGTTGCTTCCAATATCAATATAGCTCCCCTCCCAACATTATCTTTGTTATTTACAATTAGTAAACAGGTGTGTAAGAGGAATTACTGAATTATAGAATCATTTTGGAGGTGAATTTAATGTATGGTTAAATTTGAAGATTACAAATGCTGAAACATTTTTGGAATGGAAGTCCCTCTGTATTTGGGGCTTGTAGCTCCTGAACCTTTTGCACTCCCAAAAGACCCTGTTTACCATCTCAAAGCTGAAGAGAGATAATTTGTGATTGAATTCACATATCCATATTCAACCATAATATGATTGTTTGGTTTTAGCTGAGCCTATTAGATGAAATTAATCCCCATAGTTAGATTGAGAAATAAAAATATGACAAGTGAACCCAAGTTATTGTCTATTTATTTTGGGATTGAGCAGGAGTTTTAGAGATTAGAGAAGCCTTTTTTATTTGCCTGTTTATTGCAATTTTCTCTGCCTTGAGCAGTTAAGTTAATTTGAATTCAGCAGTAACCTAGAAACAAAGTGCTACATTACTGATGTCAGTGAACATGTATTTCTCCCAATGTCCTTAAATTTAAAACTGTCGTTTAAACACTTATTTCGAATGCCAATTCTACTGATTTAATGGGACTGACTTCTGAATAAGCATGAATACCAGTGAGAATCATCAGCATAATAGGCTCTGTGCTCTTTTGTTAACAAACAAAAGGAATTAGCAGAATACATTTTTGAATAAGTAATGATAAACTAGTATTTTCCCCACTAATATCAGTGAGACTGACTCCCCCAAAGGCCTGATCAAGCTTTAACTTTAATTATTTCACATTCATAAATATGCATTGCAGCACCTCTGTTTCTGTTGCTGGATTCTGAAAATTAGAGCTGGCCCAGCAGTATTTAGTTAATTAATCCTCTCTGCCTCCTAGTTTCAAGGCTTCGTATCAGGACAAAACACAGTTTTCAATCTTGCACCTTAAACCCAACAGCAAAGAAAGCTGACAGCTCATATAAATAGCTTATTATTTCAGTTTGCCTTCAGCTATGAGAATATATGACAAGCTTGCTTCAATTACAGTCCGTTATTATCTTTCCACTTTTCCATGAATTGCAGAATCACGGGACGGGAGCTATTATGAGGTTGATTTTTCTGCCAGACAACTTTCCATCCAGGATGAGTTTTCTAGAGCCATGTTCATCAAAGCCTCACATGAGTTTTTAAGGCAGTGGAAAGTGACACAACTTTTGCTTATATGTTCATTTTTTTAAATGTTTGCAATCATTCAAATAGGCTTTGCTGGTTTTTAATCAATGCACAACTTATTTATCAAAGCAGCACTTATTTATCAAAGCAGCACTTATTTATCAAAGCAGCACTTATTTACTAGAGGAAGATGGACTTCTTTCAAATCACCTTCAGTTTGTTGGAAATATAAAATGTCACTCCCCACCCCCATAGGTCTTTACAAGCCCAATTGGCCCATCAGTTACATGATCTTTATTATACTTAGCCCAGTAGTGGGATTCAAATAATTTAACAACCAGTTCTCTACCCTAATGATTTCTTCCAACAACCAGTTCACCAAACTGCTCAGAAAGTTAACAACCGGTTCTCCCGAAGTGGTGCGAATTGGCTGAATCCCACCACTGACTTAGCCCCATTTCAGGGCAGTGTGTGTGTGTGTTTGATCAGTCATTGGTGGCTTCCTAGGGAGGTACCTGCATGTGAAAAAGATAAGTCATAGCCATTCACTAGCCACTCTCAAAATGTCTTTTTCCATGAAGATAATATCTGCTGTTAGCCACTGAGCACAGAACATAAATGGGGACAGCGTATTATTTCCCCATCAAGCTATTATTCTGACACTCTAAAGGCTGGGTGAAATAGTGGCCTATTTAGGTCTCTTGCCTATTCCTTCCCCAAGTCTATCCTACTGTAAGAATCCATTATGAAACTAGTGATGCTTTTCTTTCACAGATACAGACTATGGCAAAGTAGTATATATGAAAAGTTTCCAATGAAAATCAAGATAGTCTTTATCATATTACTACTGAAACCTCCATAAAACTATTCAACTTTTGGACACATTCCTCATTACATGTATTGATCCAGACCAATTTCTCTGTGTGGAAAAGGTATTGATTGGGAGAAAAAAACCCTTCTACAGTACTTCTGTCCTGGAAACAGGTCATCGCCTCCCTCAGTGTTGCATCGCATAAAGCATTTAAGCTAAGGCTGTTCCCTAGAAGAAACTTTAAGAATTGTAATTGTGCTTTTTAAAAAGACCCTACTAAATGTCATGTTGTTTTCTGTTGAACTGCAGCTGAGCATAAAGTAAACCAGATCAGTTCTAAGTAGAAATTGTGTTGTGGGATTGCACAGGTGTGGAACCAGTCTGGGTGTGTCACAAACATTGTGTATGGATATGCCACATACGTTGCTTACTTTTCTTTCTATAATGAACACTTTCTTCTAGACCATCCTAGAATTACAGCAAATATTTTAATATACGATTGGCAATAAAGCCATACAGCACTCCTAGTCATGTTTGCATGGAAATAAGTCCTACCACAGGAATTTACAGGGCATGGTGGACTTGGGTCCAAAGGTATGGTGTTTTAGCACCAGGCTAAAAACCAGGAGACTGTGAGTTCTAGTCCCTCCTTAGGCATGAAAGCCAACTCTGGGCCAGTCACTTTCTCTCAGCCCAACACTCCTCACAGGGTTGTTGTTGTGGGGAAAATAGGAGGAGGAATGAGTTTTAGGTACATTTACCCATGAGTTATTTATGAAAATAATAAAGGCAGAATATAAATAAACAAAATAATAAGAGACTGATGAAGTTAAGTAAAGGGAGGTATTCAGATCCAAAATGTTATTAGGTGACTTCTGCTGCGTGACATCTGCCATGCCGATAAAATTGAGGCATCAATCTATTTTATCTCTTCACCAGTTTATACATATTTACTGTTTACAGCAGCGGTCTCCAACCTTGGCAACTTTAAGGCTTCTGGACTTCAACTCCCAGAAAAGCAAAGCTGGCTGAGGAATTCTGAGAGTTGAAGTCCATAAGCCTTAAAGTTGCCACAGTTGGAGACCCCTAGTTTACAGTACCATTTATCTGTCAAAGAAGGGGAAAGAGAAAAGGATTCAAGTATTGTGCTTGTTTTGACACAGAGGTAGTAAAATTGGATTCAAGTATGATTCTCTGAACAGACTCAGGCTGGGCAATGCAGTGAAATATGATCTTCCTTGTCTGAGACAAGAAAAAAAAACCAAAGAAAGAATCAAGAAACAACAGAAGCCAGAAATAAGGATTCTTCTAAGAAAAGTAGACCAAGAAGGTACTGTAATGTATGTTCAGTAGCTATTGTAAATAAAATAAAGAAATGCTGTATAATGGCCAGTTTGTAAGGAACAATCCATGCAAAACTGCCTTTGTGAGATACAGTTCTCAAAGAAACCTGCATGTCGGCTATTAACTCTTTTTAAAGATCTAATGAATGGAAGCTATTTTCTTCGTGTACACTCATTAAAACTTCTATTTGATGATACTAAGGAAACCTGAAACAAAGCTATCAGATTCATATCTATGTTTTGATTCAAGTTAATTGCCTGTAAATACACACACACACACACACACACACATAAACAAACACAGCTTTTTAATTATCATAAAATGCCACTTTGGCTGAACTGAAGCAAAATGGACAATCCAAAACCTCACAGTTGCCAGGCTGAATTGATGCTCTGCTGCATTCCTATTGACAGTGACTTGTTCAAATGAGATCCTTGGGGAAATATTATTCAGAATGGCAAAACATCTACTTGTCATCATGGTGAAGCTTTCTAGATTGTGGGAAGCCACCCCTATCATAGAAGAATGAAATATTTTGAGGAATATTAAAAAGGCAGAATATTATATTTGCCTGGCTAAGAAATGGAGAAACATTTTTT